TTTGGCGCGGCTCAAGTACATTCTTAAGATTTTTAATATGCCTCAGTTTATCTCTTAGCAGTAAAAAAAGGTGACTATCTCCACATATGTTTGGGTTTACCTCGCTCTTGCCTCCTCAAGAGCCTCACTCGTTGGGGAATTTGTCCTTTCTCCTGCTTCTTGAACCTTTCCTTCCTCTACTGTCCCAGCATATGAGCTGCGATCTCCCTTGAAAAACAAAATGAACAACAAAAGCCAACCCCCCCCCCCCAAAAAAAAATGGTATGGCTCAGTTGGTTGGGCATCATCCCAGGTCTGGGAAGGTTGCTGGTTCAGTTTGCAGTAGGGAGTGCGCATGTTTCTCCCTATCTCCCTTCCTCTCTCTCTCTAAAAATCAATTAAAAAATATTTTATTGATTTTTTTTTTTACAGAGAGGAAGAGAGAGGGATAGAGAGTTAGAAACACCGATGAGAGAGAGTCATCGATCAGCTGCCTCTTGCACACCCCCTACTGGGGATGTGCCCACAACCAAGGTACATGCCCTTGACTGGAATCGAACCCGGGACCTTTCAGTCTGCAGGCCAACGCTCTATCCATTGAGCCAAACCGGTTTCTGCTAAAAATCAATTTTAAAAAATCTTAAAAAAGACACAACCCAACGACAGCAGCAACAACAACAAACAACAACAAAAGCCAATTCCAACACTCCCACTTGTCTTTTAAGCTCCTTAAGATTTGTGTACACAACTGAGTTTCCTTCAAATCACTCCAGCCTGTCCCTGGCTCCTACCACTCCATCACACCTGCTTTGCTAAGGCCACTGTAGGGGGTTGAGTAATAATCCCCCAAAAGATATGTTCAAGTCCTAACCCGTAAACCTGGGAGTGTGAACCTATTTGGAGAAAAGATGTAATTAAGAATCTTGAAATAAGATGATCCAGGACTTAGGGTTGGCCTTAGGTCCAACGAGTATGTCCTCCTAAGAGCAAGGCGGCGGGAGGTTTGAGACCCAGGATAAACACGGGGTAGAAGTCCAGGTGAATCAGATTTTTTAATTCCCTTGGTTTTTAGATTCACTTGTTGATAGTTATGTATTTGTTGTTCATAATTTTTATCTTTATTTTCTTTCTCTTCTGAAAGAACCCCCTTCAGCAATTCATATAATTCTGGTTTGGTGGTGATGAACTCTTTTAGCTTTAAAATTTTTTTTTTTATTAGTGAAGTTCTTTATCTGGTCTTAGATTTTAAAACCCTGATGGACAATATTAACTGTTTAAAACAATAGAATCAGAGGTATGGAAGGGGAGTGGACTGATGATTCTCAGGGAAAAGAGGAGTGGGGGGGGGTGCGGGAAGAGACTGAACATAAACTGTGCACCTATGGATGAGGATAATGGGGGGGAGGAAGGGCAGAGGGTGGGGTAGGAACCTGGTGGAGGGGGGAAAAATGAGGAACTTCTGTAATAATATGAACAATAAACGTTTATTAAGAAAAAAATAAAGTAGTCCAGGTGAAGATGGAGGCAGGAAGGGGAGTGATGTAGCTCTAAGCCGTGGACTGCTGGCGGTCATGAGAAACCGGAAGAGGCAAGGAAGGGTTCTCCTCCAGAGCCCTCAGACGGAATGCAGCCCTGGACGGTTTTGGATTTCTGGTCTCCAGAGTTCTGAGAGAATAAGTGTATGTAGTTTTAAGCCACTAACTTGGGTTAATTTATTATGGCAGCTTTGGAAATTAATAGTCACCAATGGCCTGTATTGCAAAACCAGACATAATATAATCTTGCATCTTCCTTTTTTTTCTTTTTTAAAAGCAGGAATCTTCTCTAGCAACACCACAAACACCACAATTTCTCTCTGCTTTTTTTAAAAAAATATATATTTTTATTGATTTCAGGAGGAAGGGAGAGGGAGGGAGAGATAGAAACATCAATGATGAGAGAGAATCATTGGTCGGCTGCCTCCTGCACTCCCCACATTGGGGATTGAGCCTGCAATCCAGGCATGCATCCTTGACCAGAATCGAACCCGGGATCCTTCAGTCCACAGACTGACACTCTATCCATTGAGCCAAACCAGCTAGGGCTACATTTTCCATTTTACAGCAGAATTGGACTCAGTTGATTATCCCTTTCTTGAAACCTCTGACAGTCCTGGCTTCCAGGGAACCACTTCCTGTTGGGTTCTCTCTTCTCTTTGAGAATGCTTCCTCGTAAGAGTCTCTCTCTTTGTTTCCACCCAACCTCTAAATGTCTCCTCTTCTTCTACACCCTCTCAAGTAATCACATCCCTACCTGTGGCTCTAAGTATCACCCATGTACTAATGATTCCCAAATTGATGCCTCCAACTTAGACCTGCTGTTAGCTTCTGTCATGTGTACACCATGCCTTCTTGACACATGGTGTTTCATAGCAATCTCATCCATGAACATGCATGCACAAGACCAGAACTTTTGATTTTCACGAAATGGTCCTCCCACCAGCCCCCTAAAAAGCCCGTTCTTTCTCTGGTTTCCCACAGCTGAAGAAATGGCATCTGCACCTAACACAACTGCTCTACCAGGACCTGTATCTAATTCCTAAGCCAGTCTTGTCAATGTACGATGCATCTCAATCTACTGAGTCTACTCACTTCTCTCTCTCTCTCTCTTTCTCACCCCCCCCCCCCCCCCCCCCCCGGCTGCAACCATCCTGGGACCTCACTAACATCTCACCTGGTCTCTTGCAAGAGCATCCAATTCTCCACACAGCAGCTAGAGGATCTTTTTTCTATTTCTTTTTTCTTTCTTTCTTTTTTTTTTCATATATATTTTATTGATTTTTTACAGAGAGGAAGGGAGAGAGATAGAGAGCTAGAAACGTCAATGAGAGAGGAATATCTACCAGCTGCCTCTTGCACACCCCCTACTGGGGATGTGCCTGCAACCAAGGTACATGCCCTTGACCGGAATCGAACCTGGGACCTTTCAGTCCGCAGACCGACGCTCTACCACTGAGCCAAACCGGTTACGGCTATCTTTTTTTCTTTTATAGCGGATCTTTTAATCTATCAGATTATGCCATGTTCCTAAAGCCCTCCAAAGGATTCTTGCTGAATCAAGTGCAAAACCCAAACTCTGAGTGCCTTTTGTGACCTTGTCCTTGCCTCCTGTCCCTCCCCTACCCCCACTTCATCCACAGGGGGTCTTCCCTGGCTCTGGGAGCTTACCGAACCTTTTCTACCTCAGTCCCTCTCTGCCGGGATTCTCTCTCCACACTGGGCCAGCAGCTGGCTTCCTTAGAGAAAACTCCCTGACAGCACTCTCCTCACATACTTTGTCGGTTCCTCCTCCTTCCCTTTCGTAGAGTCATAGCACTTGCCGATATCTGTAATTACACATTCGATCGTGTGTTTATTTATGATCTCTCCCACCGAGCTGCTTGCAGGAAGCAGCTGGGACTCTTGTCTGCTTCTCATCACTAAGCACAGAGCGCCTCACTCAGGGGCAGCAGCAGCCAGGATGCTCCAGAAAGATTTGTTGAATGAATTCACTCTCTTATTCTTTGCCTCAAATGTATGTCCTGGCATGGAAGGCTTGCCTGGCATGAACACATGCAACCCAAAAGAAAAAGAAAAAAAAAATCTAAATTTTATGAAAACCCGAAGACTTAAGTTTTACAAACATATAAATTATTTTATTTACAAAGCCATGTTACAAAAAAAAAAAAAAAAAAAAAAAAAGGCCAAAAAACCCAACCGCTCACCGGAGAATGTGTCAGGCCTGGTGCGGAACCGTGGCAGTATCAATAGATACATGTTTGTTCTTTCCTTTTTTTAAAACTGTAAGCCATGGAGTTTACTATGTACACCTACTTTAGACATTTATTCTGCTTACAATATCGCAGGCATGGAATGAATTCTGATAGTGCTAACACATGAAGGTGCGGGGCGAAGGAGGAGATGCCTAGTGTTACAAAATATGGATCGTAGAAAAGAAGAGAAACCCACCCCACAAGGGTGGCCTTGGTTCAGAATGTTTGGACATGCTCTTCTTCAAAATCCTTCCGGAAAAGGTTCTCAAGTCGGGTAGTAGGAAAGGACAAATGATCAGGTGCAAATTCTTGTCTGTGCAACAATAGTTATTTAATATACCCCCATGACTGGCCAGCGACGTAAAACCCACAGTTTTTTGTTAAAGTGCCATGGGCCAACAGCATAACAAAATAGAAGGTGTAAATAGAAAATTTCTTCTTTTCCTTTTTTTTTTTTTTTAAACAAGAGTTCACTGAGAATCAGCAATAATAGAATATGCTGTATAAACTATTCTCTACAAAGGTTGATCAGCGTTATTTACAATTGGTACATTGATACAAAAGAAGGCATACAAGTTTATCCAAGTCGCTTTGTTTTTTATGGCTGACAGGTCTATGCATTGCGCTAGGCTTAACAACCAGAGCTTTCGTGAGCCTCTGTGGCTGGCGACGAGTCACGAGATCTTCAGGCAAGTGGAGGGGGGTGTTGGGGTGTGCAGTCCCGGGCGGGGAGAGAGGGCCGAGGGGGGCGGGCGGAACAAAGAAGTCCCCAGAGGGGGTCACCCGGATAGTGCTTTACAGGCTGGTCCAGTTGAACTCCATGAAAACAAAACCAAAGAAAACTTTTTATTTGCATTCCACTTTTTTCAAGCTGTGAGTTTTGAATACATGGTTATCAAGTAAACCTGTGGTTGACCGTGAAGGAAGAGACACCGTGGGTTTTCCCTTTTCTTTTTTTGCTCAGTTTTCCAGAAATGTCCTCGCCTTGGTCAGAGCCAGTCTTTCACCAAGTCAGCAGCATTCGGTGGGGAGCCTTGTTATTCCAGCTTGCAATTCAAGATGTAGGGCGCGAAAACGTTCACACCTACAGACGGAATTGCTCCTTGAGTCCCTGTCCAGATGTTATTTCTCAGAAGCAGCCACTTCATCTCTCACCTTTGTGTTCCCTCTTTGGATATGTAAGAGTTTGTAGATCAGAGGGTTATTCTGTTACTGAGATTTTTCCCCCCCCTCGTTTTGTTTTTACTCCTGCAAGTTTTACAACTCAAAATAAATTATATTAAAAAACAAAACAAAAACACAACCACACACAGACGTCTAAAACTGAACAAGACAAAAAAATTGTGCAAAAATAACAAAGATATATCTACATACTTTTCCGTCTGAAGAAATGTACAATAAAAACATAATCCAAAGAACATTTTAAAAATATAAACATTGCTTAAAACTTTCCTAAGTTTCATATTGTTTCTGAAACTATTTCTGGTCAGTTAGCTCTGTCATATAGTAAAACATAAATTATTACAAAATTAACACTATAAAAATTTACTTTAAGAATATCTTCTAAACTTTTTTCCCCCCCAAAGGTTCTAATCTTGTTTATAATTTCTTATACATTTATAAGTCTTAAATCTGCCTTAACCACCTTTTTTTTTTAAAAAAAGGAAAAGTAACAATCTTCCCTTCAATTTGCAGTCTTCCCCCTTTCCCCCCCCCCCCCAAGATGTAAATAAACCAGCATATAAGTGCACTTTTAACACTGTAGAAATAAAAACGAAATAATCTGAACTAATGTCCTGGTACCTAATATCAACTCATTGATTTTTTAAAAAAATCTTCATTTTTATATTAAAAAATTGTAGTAATCCTATAAGAAACACTGTCAGTGCAATTTCATCGATGCAAATCACTCCGCTAGCCTCCCGCCTCAGTGGGATTCCATTCCGTGTTGAAACCTAACAGTAGTCTGATCTTTGGGGAGGGGGGTGGGGAGGGGAGGAAGACTTCGGGGTGGGGGTGAGGGTGTGTGTCCAGCTGCCACTCTGGCTTTCCTGTCTGATGTAGGGATGAAGGGAAACTCCCACTCTCTGTGCCAAGGGACAGGGTGAACAGCGCAGAACACTCACTTTACGTGGCGCGTTCCTTTCCGGACCGATTCCTGATTAAAGCTTACAGTACTGACGTTTCCTTCAGACTCCAGTGTGAATAGTTTCAGCTGCGCTCTTCCTCGCTAGGGAGTGGCCGGCCTTACCACTCTGACCCGGGGTGGCTGTGTCTGAGCTGGGCCTCTGAGAACCCGACAGATCCTGATACAGGGGGCCCGTCGTGTGGCCCAGGGTCGTGTGGCCCAGGGCACAGAGCTGGGTGGGCGGGGCTTGTACTCATTCTCACCAGGGGTTTGACCCGTAGCCCTCCATGGAAGCTTTCCCCCAGATCCATCCTTCCCTCCCCTTGTCTCCTCTTGCCCGGCCCTGGAGGGCAGCTGGAGAGTGTCCACAGCTGTGGGCACTGTGCCTTCTTCAGAGTGGCCTCCTGGGGCCTCCTGTCCCCCCCCCCCCCCGGGGGGGGGCATCCCTCTCTGGTTTGACCAGCTTTGGGCCCTTGCCCAGGGCACCCTGGATTCCTAACAAGCTCAGAGGACCACAACCACCCAGTTCTCACGATCTCTGAGGGATAGCTTTCCGACCCCCATTCTCTGCTTCCAGCCACCTCCCAGGCCCGGTCCAGACCTGACCCGGTATATCCCCTCTCTCAGCTGCACGGCCGGCCGGTGGTCCTGGGTGCCCTGGAAACCTGATGGGTGCTTGGCCACCCTCCTGCCTCTGTTCTCCGCTCCCCAGCGGAGCCCCTCCCAGGCCATCCAGAGGCGAGCTTATGAGAGACAACTTCTTGGGACAGCCTTGGGGACCCAGAGAGTGGCAGGTAGGATGGGATGGATGGGCGGGCGAGGACAAGGAAAAGAGCACTTCGTGTGCTCAAGTTCGAGTTTCCGATGACGATGCCAACTGGGAACGGACGTCCCGAACGGTCTGCTCGCGTGGCTGGAGCAAAACGACGGTGCAGTAGTTGAATCAGAAGCTGGAGGAGGGACCCCGAGCTTGGAAGGATGTGTACATGTGGCAAACGAAAGACAACGAAGAAAACAAAACACGGGCATTGTTTTCTGTAAATCTCAAATTCACGTTCTCTTGCCTTTTTTCTTTTTCTCCAAAAAACGAAAGAAACTGGTCATAAAAAAGAAAAAGACAAAGAAAGGCCGGAGCCACAGGCGGGCCCAGGAAATGGATCCCCCACTGCCCACTCCCTGCCCCCATGGCCCCTGGGCGGGACCGGAGGCCAGGCGTTGTTCTGGAAGTGGCTTCATAGTCTTGCTATGGAAGAGTCCTTATCCTGCCTGTTCTGTTTGTGGTCTTCTAGAAAAGAAAAGAAGCTTGGGATTACCACGAGGATTCGAGAACAGAGTGATTTCTCATCTATAACAAAAAGGAGACCATCCCAACCCCTACAGCAGCCAAAGGCAGGAGGGGATGTCTGCAAAGGACCCCATACATGTAGGGTAACCCCAAAGATCCTAGTGGTGGGGGGAAATGCAAAGATAAATTCATGGGTTTCTCTCCAGCATAGAGGATCAGAATAAGTCTGTGTTCTCTCTCTCTCTCTCTCTCTCTCTCTCGCTCTCTCGCTCTCTCTCTCTTTTCCCCCCAATTCGTTCACCTGGGATGTTCCTACCGTTTCCCCAAAAATAAGACATCCTCCGAAAATAAGACCTAGCGCATGGAAAAATAAGACATCCCCTGAAAATAAGACCTAGCACATCTTTGGGAGCAAAAATTAATATAAGACAGTGTCTTTATTTTTGGGGAAACAGGGTAGCTAACCTACAGACAGCCCAGGGAATTATCTAAGGAAGAGGCAGAGTGATGGGTGAAGCACAGACTATGGAGACCAAGGTTCTGGGTTCACGTGACTTAGCCTCATCGTCCAGTCACCTTCATCTATAAAATGAGGATGGCCGTTTTGTCTCTCACAGGGTCTGTTAAAGGTTTACATGCATGGACAGGGTGGCTAGCCCAGCCTCTGCGGAGGAAGGACTCAGCAGACTATCATCATCACTGTTACATTCGTCAGGGCTGACTGCCAGCATTCCGGGTCCCCACAGGCGGGCCTGGAGCCCCGGGCAGGCGCATTCACCACCTGTGCGGGAGGTCTGCCGTCCACAGAGGCAGCCCCTGCCCGAGCACAGAGGACACCCCCACCCCCTCCGCCCACAGAGGACTGGGGGCAGGTGCTCAGGCCCCGAAAGGGCCATCGCGACTCAAAATAATGGAGGCACCCTCCTTGATCTGGGGAGACAAAGACTGTTTCCCTATAACCTTCCCCCAAATTCTACCCCAGATTTGCGAGGAAACCCCAAAGGCCAACACACAGACAAATATACATTGCAATGTGTTGTCTGCGAAGCCTACAGGTATCGAAGACAACACAACGCAGCCGTCATCGTATTTTCCCCCGATCACGCACGGCATGCGGGAAGCCGCCCCCTACGCTCCCTGGTCTCCCCCCGCATGCACATGCTCGCCAATGGAGAAAATTATTCACACACGAACTAACTCTCACACCTCAAGTTCGTAAAACTCCCAAGTCTACCCTGAAGAGTCCCGGCTTGGAACCGCTCTCCGAAGGGTGGCTCTAGCTCCCCAGAGGCCTGGAGAAAGCACTGACTGACCTGCCTCTAGCAAGGCCCGTTAGTCCACATCACCTTATTTAATTTTCACAGCAATCTTAGGAGGTAGGCATTGACTTTGCCATTTAACAGATGAAAAAAAAAAAAAAATTAGACTCAAAGTAATCTGCCTAATATGACACGGCTGCTAATACTAATAGTAATTGCTAACACGTGTGTGTTCTATTGGGCATTTTCTAGACTCTAGAAAATGTGTCAAACACAAGGCCCTCGGGCCAAATCCGTCCCGCCAGGCCTTGCAATGTGGCCCGCACCGCGCTGTCATCACTGCACTCCGCTGCGTTTCCATCACAATGACAGTTTATGACTGTTCAGTAAACCATTCGGCCCGCGATTTAGGCTGGATTTTAGATTTTGGCCCCTTCTCTGATTGAGTTTGACACCCCTGTTTTAGAGGCTTTCTGTGAATAAGTTAATTTAATCATCACAAAAGCCCTATGAGGTAGGGACCATTATAATCCCCATTTAAAAAAAAATATATTTTATTTTTCACAGAGAGGAATTGAGAGGGATAGAGAGTTAGAAACACCGATGAGAGAGAATCATCAACCAGCTGCCTCTTGCACACCCACTACGTACGTGCCCTTGACCGGAATCGAACCCGGGACCCTTCAGTTCGCAGGCTGAGGCTCTAGCCATTGAGCCAAACCGGTTTTGACTATAATCCCCATAGTATGGTGAGGAAACAAGCACAGAGGAGTTAAGTAACGTGCCCAAGGGCACACAGCTAGTAACTACTAACGTGGGAAGCCAGACGGCCGTGCTGTTAACCAGATGAGATTTGAACCAGGATCTGACCCAAATACCCACATTCTTTCCACCCCGCTGATGACCTTATGTACTCCACTCCTCTCCCCCTCCGCCCCCCTAACTTACCTGTCGGCTGTGTCCTGGGCTGGGTATGCTTGAAGGGCTGGACTGTGACAGAGCGAGGCTGCTGTTTTTCCCAACCTGAAAGACATCGGCGAAGCCCTCCTCAGACAGCGAGCCAGCATGGGCAGGCCCCGCCCACACCAGGTGTCCACGGGGACAGGAGAGGGCTGTGCCACCACGTGCTCCTTGCCCTCCCGTCCATCTCAAATGGCAGAGAAAACGGAAACGTCTCAGCGGTGCCTGGAGGATGTCACTCCCACCCCAGAGGAAAGCATAACGGAGGGGAACTCAATCCTGCTTCCCCCGTGAGGACGTTTTCGGGATGAGGATAAAGCAATCTGGCTGGAGGCCTGCCATGTCGCCCCCCTCCCCGTCCCTCCCCTCGGAGCATTGAACTGGGCAGAGGCCCAGCTTTTCCATCTGTGGCCAAAGGGTTACACAGACGCCTCCACCTCTGAACTCAGGCCTCCCCTCACTTATTTCTGGCTCAGGCTCCCGTGGATCAGCGGCGGATAGAAGCCTGGGCCTTGTTCTGGGCCCGTTTTCTCAGTCAGGAGACACAGTGCAGCCCTTACTGTTCCCGAGCAAAAGCATGATGGCCCTGGGCTTCCTCCTCCAGGGGAAGCGGACCGGTCCTTGGACAGTGTCCTGGGAGCACGGGGCTGCCCTTGGCACACACGGCTGGTGCTCGATTGAGTGCCGTCCCAGAGGCAGCTCCTGCCTTGGGCCCATGAAGAGCTGGCCTCCCCGCTGCCTGGCTCAGAGGGAATCAAACCGGGAGGTCATGGTCTGATTCCCGGTCAGGGCACATGTCCGGGTTTTGGGCTTGATCCCCAGTGTGAAGCGTGCAAGAGGCAGCTGATCAATGATTCCCTCCCATCATTGATGTTTCTATCACCCCCCCCCCCCCCCGTGAAATAAATTAAAAAATATAAAGAACTTTATATATATAGCCTTCTACATTAATTCAGCTTTGCATAAAGACATCGGCCTTACATTTGCAGCCATTTTGTTTAATTTAATACTCCTGTGGCAAATTCTGGCCTTACTCCTACCAGATACACTGAAACAGAACCTCAGTTGGTCCCCAGAGCACATGTTTACCTTGAATTTCTCAACCTCACACCACGCCCCTTCCAGTCTCCTAAGAGGATCAACATAGATTCTCCAAAGGCTTTTCTCCAACATTCAGAAATCCCTGGACAAAGCTTTTTCTTAGTGGCCTGGTGACAAGGACCCAGGTACCACCTAGGCCCAAGGCAGCCGTTACATTCCTCAGCTTTTTTTGGATTTCCTTCCTGATGGACCCTCGCTGGAGGCAGCTTGCCTGCTCCTCTCACCCCGCTGGTGGCTGGCTCGTAGTGTTGACTGCACATTCCCTATGTCCTGGCAGACCCAACAGTCAACAGAGCGGTCTTTACTCCACAGAGGCACGCCATGAACACATGAGAGGCATGGAGGGCTAAGAGCCCAGGCTCCAGAGCTAACCGGCCTGGTTTCAATCCCAGCCCTGCTACGTACTTGCTGTGTGACTTTGGCAAATTCTGGCCTTACTCCTACCAGATATAATGAAACAGAACCCCAGTTGGTCCCCAGAGCACCTTCCTGTGCCTTGGTTGACTCATCTATCAAAGGACAGTAATAACAGGGAATGGCTACAGGTGTTAAATGTAGCTGAAGGACTTGGATCGGAGCCCCCCTCCTAAGTGTTAGCTGCTAAGATTTTATCTGAAATGGGTGACAGGATAGCCTGCCGCTCAGCGTGTGGCCTGCAAACCAGTGGCCTGTTAGAATGCAGACTCTCAGGCCTTCTCCCACCCCTGCCTCTGCCCCTGGCCTGACTCAGAACCTGCATCCTAGCAACCCTCAGGGAACTCAGGTGGTCCTGAGTTCGGAGGTCCTGGCTGTGCGTCCATCCAGACCTGGAGGTGGCACTGAACCCCCGGTGAGCCTCAGCATAGGGCGCCCCCCCCCCCCCCCCCCCCCCCCCGGCACTGAGCAGCCAGAGGCAGCACGTCTGCTGCAGCTGCACACATGTGTGAGGGGCCGGGCTCCCGGGAGGCGCCCCGTCCTCCCCTTCTCCCTCCCTGGCCTCCGTTGCAGCTTGTCTGGCCCTTGGGATCCAAACTTGCTGCTTCTCAAGTGTTTGCTTGTGATTTGTGAATCCCCCTCGAGATGCTCTCCCCGTGAGGTTTTAACGAGCCTCCTGTAAAGATGACACAACTGCCTCTCGTCTCTCCCGAGTCCTCGCCCCCGGATGGGGCTGGGCTCAGGGCCCGGGCACGTCATGCTCTGGCTGTGACCCTGGGGCTGCGGGAGCAGGTGCCCGGCCAGCAGGGGCAAGGCCCCGGGGCAGCCTGCGGAGCGGCTCCTCTGGCCTCGCTCTCTCCGAGGAGCCCCATGGCACTGGTCTGTGCGGGCGGGGACTCTCCGAGGTCGCTTCCCTAGCCTGGGAGGCAGACCAGACTCGGGGATGGGAACAGAACACAAGGGAAGACACACGGATTCTCCCTGGACCACACACCACGTTCCCACAGCTTTCCTCACAATCCCCCTCCTCCCCATTTGGTACAGTGGCATCGCACAATTCTGTGCCCGTTGCCGTTCGTTTTACTTTTGGGAAAAAAAAGAGTTATGCCGAAACCGGTTTGGCTCAGTGGATAGAGCGTCGGTCTGTGGACTGAAAGGTCCCAGGTTCGATTCCGGTCAAGGGCATGTACATTGGTTGTGGGCACATCCCCAGTGGGGGGGTGTGCAGGAGGCAGCTGATCGATGTCTCTCTCTCATCAATGTTTCTAGCTCTCTATCCCTCTCCCTTCCTCTCTGTAAAAAAATCAATAAAATATATTAAAAAAAAAAAGTTGTACCAGCAAGAGGGGGAGGGGCACCGGGGCAGCCAGGTGACGTGGAACAGTCCCGGGGGGCCGGAACCACGAGCCAGCACCCCCCAGAGGGGACCCTGGTCCTCCTTCCACCTGCCTGGCCTCAGCGCTTCCCGAGGGGACTCCCAACAGACCAGATGAAACTCCTCGGCAACAGAACCCTTTAATGAGACCACCCTCAGAAGCTCGAGGTATAAAAGGGAAGCAGCGTGGGGAGCTCAAGGCCTCTCTGTGCCTCAGTTTCCTCCTCTGGAAGGCGGTGATGACAATGGCACCAGCTGCCCCCGGCGGCTGTGAGGACTAAGTGAGACCCTGGTTGCCCGGTGCCCAGGGTGGCACGGACCAAGCACACCGAGTGCTGCAGCAAGCCACTGCTCTCCTGGCAGCGGCGGGCGGCGGCCTCGGGGACAACGGGACAGTCCCCGGGCTAAGCAGGGGCGCTGCCCGGCTCCCGCCGCCCCGGGCGCCTGGCGGGCCGGGACCCTTACCTGCCGCGAGGAGGAGGAGGTGCTGTTCACCGGGTCGGGCATCGGCGGGAGAAGGCTGGGCGGGTTCTTTTTGTGGACGCTGTTCATCCCAGGCATCTTAGTGATCTTACAGGCTTTGCCGCCCGAGCTCGCGTTCTTACGCTTTTTCCCTTCCGACTTGTCGAAGGAGAGGGGCAGCGCAGAAGACACGGCGTGGTGGGAGGCCAGGGAGAGGTCCCCCGCGAGGGCGGGCACGGCGAGGGGGCAGGGCTCGCTGCCGCCCCCGGGGCCCAGGTGCCTCCCGATGTCCGGGGGGCCGCCGGGCAGCGAGGTCCGTCCTGAGGGCTCCAGTTTGGCACTGAGGAGGGGGCTCACCCCGTTGTTGGAGGTGTGCACGGGCAGGCTGGCGTAGGGGGCAGCCAGCTGGTAGGAATTCAAGGCCGAGCTGGCTCCGAGCACGCAGTTCTTCCTGGGGGGCCCCGCCAGCGGGGACGGGAGGGGCGCCTGCAGGGGGAACGGGGCGGGGGCCGGCGCGGGCGGCGGCCGCCTCTTCTTGTTGCTCGAGGGAGGAGGAGGAGGAAGAGGAGGAGGAGGAGGAGGAGGAGGGACGGACAGGTCTCTGACTTTTGAGGATCTGCTGGTTTTGGTTTTGGATGGCTTGTGGGATGCGGGGGGCGGGATGACGGCCGGGATCGGGGACACGGCCGAGGGGGCCTTGAAGGTCGAGTCCATGAGGCTGAGGGTGGCGGCCACGTGGGGGAAGGCGGCGGGGTGCGGCAGGAGGGCGCCCGGGTCCGGCGAGGCCACGAACGCGGCGGCGTTGGGGAGCATGGCGGACGTCATGATGTAGGAGGAGGCGAGCCTCGAGCTGATGGGAGCCGACGGGAGGTACACGGCACCGGGGCTGCTGAAAGGCTGCAAGACGGAGGCTGGCACGGGGGTGGCGGCGATGTGGGCTGCCGGCGAGGGCAGGGGGCAGTCTGCCGCCGGAGGGATCTTCCTACACGTGAGAGAAGAGCGAGGGAGAGACGGTGAGCGGCGGGTGGGCGGGGAGACACCCCGGGGGGACCGGACGATGGACAATGAAGCCTTGGTGGATGGCAACATCTGAAGGATGGCCCTTCCCCGTGGCCCCCCTCTCCCCCACGGCGATGCCCTGCACCCTATGTACAATCCCTTCTGGGTTTTCCGGGTCCTTTTTCCCGTGATTGGCTACTGGATGCTGGCTGATTTGGGTTCACGGATAAGAGGCAAATGTGGCCGAAACCGGTTTGGCTCAGTGGACGGGAGAGTCGGCCTGCGCACTGAAAGGTCCCAGGTTCGATTCCGGTCAGGGGCACATCCCCAGTAGAGGGTGTGCAGGAGGCAGCTGGTCGACGTTTCTCTCTCATCCATGTTTCTAGCTCTCTATCCCTCTCCCTTCCTCTCTGTGGAAAATCAATAAAATGTATTTTAAAAGATAAGCGAATGTGCTTTAGAATCTAAATGTCCCCAGCGGTATTCTCCTCTCTATGCCGGTAGCGATGAAGGTGGTTTTTACTGGGAAGTGGCCACTCCACCCTGGGTCCTGGCGTGTGCTGAGAAGAGTGAGGCCCGGGCTCTGTCGCCTGCCCGCCTGGGCCAGAGCAGGCTTTGCCCCCTGCCTCCCCAGCCTGCTCTCAGCTCCGGGCAGCGTGGGAAACTCCCCTCTCTCACAGCCCGCCTCTGCCTGCCTTTCCTCTCTGCAGCCTCTGGTTTACTCCATGGAGAGGTGCCTCCATGTGAGCGTGTGGCTCCTGGGTGTCCACGTGCCCAGCCCCAGGGCTGATTCCTCCCCCGCTGTCCACCCCGCCCCTAGTCTCAGGTCTCACTCCGAGGAGCTGTCATCGGGGTGGCTGCCCTGCCTCAGGCCTTCTTGTCCCCGTGTGAGGAAGGGGTGAAAGTACAGGGACCCTCACGTACCCGGAGAAAGAGGTCAGGAATGTCTGCTTCCCTCTGAGCAAACGCAGGGCCTGGGCCCAGGAGAACAGGTGGATGGGAAGGTCTTCCTGGAGGCTGGGAGGGCCAGGGGGCAACCCCCAGGCCCCTCCTACTCTGGGCGCTAAGGCCTGCCCGGTGGTGGCCACTCCTGGGGCTTCCCTGCACACCCCCTCTTTGGGCTTGTGCCGGACGGACACAGTTCCCGCTTCCAAACCGGGGCCTGGGGACCTGGAGGCGCAGGGGCCCTGTGGGCACCAGCTGTTCCCAATCCGTGGGGAAGAACACTGACGTCAGGAGCCCGGCGGGTACTGTCATTGGCTCTTTTCTGTTCCCACCTTGCCCCCTGCCTGTGCCCCTGGGGGGTCAAGCCCCAGCAGTGAGGAATTCACTCTCTGACAGCGGCAGGCCTACACCCTGCACCCCAGGAGCTTGGAGCCAGGCTGTGAGATGGGGCTTCTCCCGGGCAGCCACCCTCCCATGGTGGCAGCGGGGGGCTCTGGGAAGAGGCCCCGCTGACAAGGACACGCCTCTCCTAGTGCTGCGCTCCCAGGAACCCGTTTCTGCCTGCAGCTGGGTGAAGCTGTGGCTTCGATTGTTAGGGTGGAACCCTTGAATATGGACAGACGAGTCCCTGAAGACGCCAGACCGAGGAGATCAGAGATAAGAGGGAAAAAAGCTGCCATTTTTGTGTGTGGCTATAATGGTGTTTGGAAAATCTACTTTCTCTCAGGCCTGAAGAGTGAGGGAGATCCTGTCAGCACTAAGTAAATGCTCCATGAAGACTTGCTGCAATGAACGAATGAGTGAACGAATGGATGGATGGGTGGGTGGGTGGACGGGTGAGCAGGTGGTTCTCAGTTTGCATGCTGGGCAGGACTCCCCTATAATCAGACTGGAAAGGCCTACACACGCCCCCCGACTGCCTGGCCCTGCCCAACGCCCTCCCCACAGGACGGGGCATCTCCCACGTGTGCGGCGTCAGCACACGGGCCCTGCGGCAGCCTCCTGCTTCTCTGTGGATGGCAGGCCTTCTGCTCCATCTTCCCTTGCCTCACGTTCCTTATCAGCTAAAGTCTGGGGAGAGGTCCAAGTAGAGGCTCAGCAGTTACTTGCGATAAAAAGTTGTTTACAAGTGCCAGCCGGCTCCCTGAGGGAGGACCCCCTTCAATGAGCTTCTCTGGGATCTGCTCTGAAGGTCCCCATCTGTGATGTTCCCACCCAAAGCGTCAATTCACGCTTCAGCTTGTGGGGACACAAGCAAAGCTCACAGTCCTTCATCTTGCCTCGAGGACATTCAGGATTGGGACGGGGCACGCTTTCTCTCCCTTTCCTTCCTGTCCCACGAGTCTTAAGTGGACAGCAGAGGCAGGAGGGGAGGAGGGCGGGGGGGGTGGTGGGACTGCAGGGCAAGGGCCATGAGGTAGCTCACTGTCCCCGGGACCCCCTATCCCCGTGCTAAGCGGCTTATGCGTCTGTCTAGGGGCCAAACGGCCGCGGGTCTCAGCGCTGCAGGCGGTGCCCGGCTTCGGTCTCGCGCGCTGGCCTAGGGAAAGTCCCGTGAAAAGCCCACAGATGCGAACAAAGTGACTGACGAGTGCCCATCCTCCCCTGCCAGCTGGCACGGAGCTCCAGATGCTGACCTGGCTGCAAGGGAATACTGTGTTGGCGTCTCCTGATGCAGCGTTAAGTGCTTGTTAAAGAAAAAAGAGTCTTGGCCGCTCCTTTTCTTCCTAACGTCTTCCACGCCCTCATCGGCTGCCATCCCTCCGGGTTCGGGCCCGTCGGGGCCTGGGGTTTGGGCAGCGAGGCTGAGAGGGCAGCGGGGTGCTACGCTCTCCAGAGTTGACACCCAGGCAGCCCCAATGTTGCTCAGTGACAGTAGGTTGGTTAGGCAAGTCCTGAACAGGGGGGAGGGACCTGAGGCCCTTTGGCTCGGGCTCCTGTGCCTGAGGAGGAAAGGAATATGGAGCTTGAGCTGGCAGGACAGCAGGTAGCGAAATACAGATAAACACATTCCTTCCACGTGCCTGGGTTTTACCCTTCCGAGAACCCCGAGGCGGGCTGCCATCGCGGGGGAGCCATCGCAGGAGGACAAACGAACTGGGACCCCCGGACACGGCAACCCGCATGCAGCACCGACGGTGGCTGTGTCGGAGGGGCACACTAGCACCCACGGGGGCCTTTCAGACACACGGGGCAGTCACTTCCGTGGGAAGACACGATAAGCTTCTCTGTGGCCCTTTCCTGCTTCATAGGAAGTGTTAACTTTCAGTCCTCCATCCACCGTGAGAGGCCACTACCTCCTGGCGTTCAGGTCTGGAAGCTCTTTGGGCCTCACAGCTGCCTGGGAGAGGGGCAGGCTTTGAGTCCTGTTCCCATCCCCGCTGCCAGGACCCTCTCCTTCCTCAGGGATGCCTTCCTCGCCTTCCCTGGCCTTCCCTGGGCAGGGCGAGGGGCTCAGAGCCGGCTCTCCTGAACCCTCTGGGCTTAGATCTGAGGGAGCCACGGTTCTAAGGGATTGTGATAGCTGGAGAGCTCACCTGTGCAGGAGTGGGGGTGGGGCTAGGCAGCAGGCTGGTCTTGTGTTACCAAGTGGCCAGAAGGGCAGTTTCTTATGTGCTGTGGTTTGAGAGGGTCTAGCCTGTCACTGCTTCCCAATAGCATTTTCCTAAGTCAAGAAGATTTCTTCCTTTTTTTAGGACACGCCTACGGAAATGTAAATACATCGGGAGTTGTTGGAGAATACAGGGACATCAGAGACACGGAACGTGAGTTTGGGTTTAGGTCAGAGAGCAGTGTGAGCAGAGGGGAGGAGAGGGGTCTAGGGAGGCGGAAAGGGCCAAAGACAAGCTTAACCACCTTCCCGACATCACTCGGGAGCTGCCCTGCTGGACATTAAGCGATTAGAAATTGGTCCATAACCGTTGTGACATTGTTTTTAGTATTGATGCGATAGCCTTCATATTGCAAACAGAAACACATTCTTAATACCCTTCCATGTTCTTACAGCAAAAAAAAAGGCCATCTGTAACTGTTAAACAAGCTCCTTTCTAATACCCTTTTCGTTAGAAGATTACCCACACCAAGAAGACAAAGCGTCACACACATCGCACGTGCCTCTGGAGCACGGTAGGCAAGCCGTTAAGAGCCGGCAGTTAAGGATTTACCGTGGATCCTGACTTCAGAATCATTTTTTGTTCTACGAAAAGCCAGCTACTGACACGCGTTTAGAGAGTTGGGGTTCAGGTAGTCGTGGGGCAGCCCTGACCTCACAGTGCACAAAGACTGCTCACTTACTTCCACATCTGCGAATTCAAGTGTTTTTCTACCATGGAGTTTAGTGCGAACCGAAAACGATCCCATCTTCTGTCAAACACATAGTACCCTCGTCCCATGAGGCGGCTCCCGAAGGAGCAAAACTGTGAGGGGAAAAACACATTTTAATTTTGATTACAGGTTACTAAGCTAATATAAACCATACTGAGAAAAATAACATTTGCATAAAAACACACAGGGGTACAATTTTACTCAAAATAAGGAAGCAAATGGTACTGAAGCCAAAAATATTTCTGTGCTGCTTTACTTGGAGCTCTAGATTTTCTGCAGAACACCACATTGTGACTCAACAATAGTAACATTTAATTTTCTACTATAGCACAGAGGGCTACCTTCTCTATCTCTGGGACTGAGCCAACATTTTAGGTCGAAAAACCCCAAACCAACAACATTCAGCCAGGATGTTTTTGTTTTTTTTTAATTTTTAAATTTTATTTATTTATTTTCTAGCACCACCTGCTTATTGAACACCATCTTCTTTTTTCTTTCTTTCTTCCCCCCACTCCTTCCCTCCCTCCTTCCCTCCCTCCCTCCCTCTTCTTTCTTTCTTTCTTTCTTTCTTTCTTTCTTTCTTTCTTTCTTTCTTTCTTTCTTTCTTTCTAGATTTTAAAATTGATTTTTAGAGAGAGAAAGAAGAGGAAGAGAGAGAACAAAATATTGATCAGTTGCCTCCTGCATGCCCCCTACCAGGGATTGGGCCCAGAACCCGGGCACGTGCCTGGACAGGGAGTCGAACCAGTAACCTTTTGGTGTGAGGGACAACACTCAACCAACTGAACCCCACCGGCCAGGATTCACCCATCCTCTCAAGGAGCCTGGCGGTTCCTTACTTCTTATCACAGCAATGGAAACACCTCACTGTGATGCTCTTCTGCCACTGCGCATACCTTTCCTACCTGTTGTCAACAGAGTCACTTCACTTCTGACTCGGCTATCCTCCTCCTCCTTTCCTAGTCCGGACCTCGCCTCCTCTCCTGTCGGCACCTGTGGGCTGCCTGGGGACACATCACTGCCTCTGAGCTTATACTCATGCTGTTCCGCCTGCCTGTCTTCTCCCCTCTTCTCTGACAACCCCAATTCTCCCCTCCCTCAGTGCCCTGATCAAGACTCTCGTTTCCAGTGGTCTTTATCTGAGTAACTTTGCCTCTATGAACTCTCACCCCACATTTATTGCACACTTTATTACCTTTCACCCTGGAATCACTACACAGTCTTACGTTGCATGTAATGCCTATGTGCCTGACTTGATTATAAATGGACAAAAGCCAGGGGCCCAATTATCTTCTTCTTCAATATGAGGATAGGGGGATTTGGGGTACATGATGGATGAGAGAGATAAGGCCCCACAAACTGCTTAAATCAAACCATCACACTGAAAACAATTTGGCTGAAATATAGGCAGTTAGATGTTTAGTACACAGCCTTTTATTATGATGTTAGGACAACCAGAAATGCAAGAAGCAGCCTCTGAGAAGGTGACATTTGGCTGGTCTAGAGCTCAGACAAGTCTGCAAATGACTCTATAACTCAAACGCGGCTCCTCTCCCTTTCCCCAGGCCTCCCAGCGGCTCCTGGCCTCCGTCCCAGACACAGTGCTGGATTGGCACTCACTCCACAGACCTTTCCTGGAACCGGCCTTTGGCACGGCTCTCAGGAGCAAACGCAAGACCTTCCCTTTGTTTGGTGCCTGCTTCTGTTTGGGGGCTTTTGTATTCAAACATTGCCACCCATCAAATCTGGTGCTTCTGATGAAAAAACGCTCTCCTGCACTTTCATAGCAAGAGCTTATTGACCAAGCAAACGCACAGAGGGGACTCCCCAGCGTGGAAGCTGGTCCCCCGCAGCTGGTGGGAGCTCCTCCAGGTCCTCCTTCATCCCAGTTGCTAAGGGACACACTGAACCAGGGCTCATTACAAAAATGATTTAATGTAGCCACTGACCATGAGGGAAAGGACAAAGCAAAGAAACAAACCCATGGCCTTCCCATTAAATCAGCAAAACATTAAGGGCACACAAATCCACTGAGTGCAGAGCCCAGTGATTCGAATCCTATGTACCCTGGCAGCCTGTCATTTGGACAAACGTCTTTAAAAAAAAAAAAAATTGCTCTTTTTGATGATCACCAGTCCTGTTAATGTTGTTTCTTTTTTATTGAAGAGTTTTAGAGAAAGATGAAGGGAGAGAGAGTGAGAGCGAAACATGGACGTGAGAGGGAAAAATCCATCAGCTACCTCCTACACACCCCCTCCTGGGGATCAAGCCCGCAACCTGGGCATGTGCCCTGACTGGGAATTGAACCAGTGACCTTTTGGTGCATGGGACCACATGAGCCACATGAGCCACCCGGGGCTGGACAAACATCTTGATGTGCTCCAGACTCTGGTGTTCTGGTAGAGCCCATTCTCTCTCTGACCTAAGGGGCACCTTTTTTTCTTTGCTTTCTATATCTCTGATGCCCTCAGAGGCTCTTATTCCAGGTTATATATTATGTCCTTGGCAGAGCCGCAGATCCTCATGGCACTGGCCACTATGGCAGACCCCACAGGTTGCCAATCTCCTCAACTGCCACCCCCTCCCACTCCTCCCTGCCTTTTCTTTGCTAACAGAACCACACTTTTGCTCTGACATGTGACATGGAGCAGTGAGCAGGGAAGGTGAGTCCCTTCCCAGAACCTTGGGGTGAATCGTGCTGGCTCCTCCATCCTGTGCCACTGCAATCCCATCCTTCTCTGCTGTTGAGTGGCCCAGGGGTGGGAGGTGGCAGGGGAAATCTGGTGGTGGTGGTGGTGGGGTTGTTCAGGAAGATTTTCTCCCCAATGAAATGGTATAAAATAGCACCTTAGAAGACTCCCTTTCTGTTTGTCCCTTTCCATCTGTGCAAATGCTACTGGGTGAGGACTAGAGCAGACACACCGAGACCAGGTGTGAAAGGGGAAGAGGCTGCACAGAGTGCCCCTCTGCTTGGAACCACCCACCTCTAGACTTCTTGTTATAAGAGACTAGTAGCCCTGCACACGAATCCGTGCACCAGCTCGCCATTAGCTCACTGCCACCCTCCTGTAGCTCTCCGCCCGCTGTACCCTCCCTCCCTCTACCCCTTTCATTCCCCCTCATAGCTTGCTGCCCTGCCCCCTCTCCCCCTGAATAGCTCTCCGACCCCCGCTTGTAGCTTGCTGCCCCACCCTCCTGCTGATCCGTGATCTGGTCGTAAAGTGGTTGGTCGTTACGCTTCAGGCGTAATGACCATTTGTATATCACATCTTTATTATAGAGGGTCATTCGATGACCACAGTGCTTGCACTGTATGAGTTGAGTTATCTGTGACTGGCAGTCAAAGGCATTCCTGATTATCTCTCACTATTTCTGAAATAGCTAAGAGGCAAAAGTCTCAGGCTCTTGGTCCAGGTCACCATCACCCCCAGCAACGGGAAGTGAACTTGGCGTCCCTTCATCTCACAGACAGGAGGAAGGAAGGAGTCGCTCTATCTAGATGCAGGGCTGATTTCACCGACACAGTCCCTGAGCTCTAGGAGGAGTCAACACGAGCTGGCCCCAGAGGAAACCAGCCGTGGGCCCCGTGTCCCAGGCCCCCTGCACTCAGCTCAGGGACCAGGCACCCCCTTCTCAGGTGCTTGCAGGGCAAACGTAGACGAGCCTCCAGCTCCTGCCTCCTCAGGTTCCCCACCTCGATTTCGATGATCTGAGTTGTTAAATGGCCTCTTTCAAGGACTGGGAAGGAACTGACCTTTCTGTTCATCAGCAATCACGCCGACATGAAACGCCTCCTCCTTTCCTTACACACACACACACACACACACACACACTCACTCACTCAGCACCAGTGCCATATGGTCACACTTACTAATAACAATAAAACTCAGCACCGACAGGGGAGACAACCAGCGAGGGCTGGCACCTGGCGCTGCCACGACAGACGGTTCCCCACGCAGGTGAGCCAGACGAACTCCTGAAACCAGAGGCTCTGTTCTCAGACGGGCCACGCCAGGAGGCCCGCTTCCCAGTGCCCTTACATCACCACCGCTTCCCAAGCACGGATGCTCCGAGGCGGGCCACAGACACGCAGGTGTCTAAGGGTATCGCTAAGGCAACCATTCCATCTCAGGGTGAGCCTCCCCGTAACACAGGGTCCTGACGACCTCCCCTGAGGAGGGGGTGCCCTCGGACACCACCCCCCCGCAGGCCCACGAAGCCAGGGAAACACGTGGCGGGGTGCGGGTGGCCTACCGCAAGCGGCCTGGGGTGGTGGGTGGAGAACTGGCAGTCCAACTTCTCGGGTTCGTCGGCGCCGTCCATCTCCCCTTCATCGCTCGACAGACGGCTGGCGAGGTCACCCGCAGCGGGGGGCGCGGGGGCTTCCGGGGCGCAGCCGCTGTGGCTCGAAGACGTGGTGCTGCTGATGCTGTTTGCAGAGGACGGTCTAAGGCAAGAGAGAACACACAGGATAAGCCCTTCGGAGGAGGCAACGGAGCGCAGGGGGCGGCCTTTCCGGGGCAGGGGCAGCCTTGCATCAGGGGGGTATTCAGGCTGGGAGGTCACAGTGACCAGCTCTCCGCAGGCCTGGGGGAGCCGAGGCCGTGCCCTGCCTGAACCGGGGCATCAGGGGAAAGCGACAGGGCACAGCCACATCAGTTTCTTTTCTTTTTTTTTTTTTTTTTTTATATATATTTTATTGATTTTTTACAGAGAGGAAGGAAGAGGAATAGAGAGTTAGAAACATCAATGAGAGAGAATCATTGATCAGCTGCCTCCTGCACACCCCCTACTGGGGATGTGCCTGCAACCAAGGTACCTGCCCTTGACCAGAATCGAACCTGGGACCCTGGAGTTCGCAGGTTGACGCTCTATCCAAACCGGTCAGGGCGCCAGGTCAGTTTCTTAATATTTATATTAATATTATTAATATTATTAATATTATTAAGATAGTAATAATGTCTTAACATGCCACATGGAGTTTAATTGTATCTTCTGAGAATGAACGTTTACATTTAAAAAATATTTTTATTGATTACAGAGGGGAAGGGAGAGGGAGAGAGATAAAGAAGCATCAATGATGAGAGAGAACAATTGATGGATTGCCTCTTGCATGCCCCACACTGGGGACTGAGTCCACAGCCCGGGCAAATATTCTGACCAGGAATCGAACCATGACCTCCTAGTTCATAAGTTAATGCTCAGCTGCGGAGCCATGTACATTGATTGGCTGGACTGAATGTTTAATTTTTGACAAGGCATTCGATCCTCCTGCTAGCACAGTTGGCTCATAGTTGATGTTGAAGAAATATGTTTCTCAATGAAGGAATACATGAATTCCATGTGTATAAATAATCCAACAGAACTCATCTAAATTATAGCTAAGCTCATAGAAAAGCACTGTCACAGTAAGAGATAGAACTGCATGCATACTGAGCAGTAAAAAACAAGACAAAACAAACACATCACATCAGGAGAGGAGTTAGAAGAGTCAAAGTTAGTTGTCAGTTGTTTTTACTGCTTCTCTACTTTCATTAGGTGACTGACCCACGAGAAAGATAGGGAGAAAAATTTTTTTTGGAGAGAAAAATCAAGATCCTTAAGATTATTGGTTTTCTGCATTCTTCTTTGGAAGCTGCCTCTCCCAGTCACATGAAGAGGCACTATTGCCCTGTCTCTGTCTCCTTCATTCCACTCTGGATCCTCTGTGCTACAACATCTTCCCAGGCGTGAAATACCCGAGTTCAAACCAGATCCCGAAAGCATAGCCGTTTAAAAACAAAGCCACAAAGGTGGGAACAAGCCAAGTGGCCACCAGTAGACAAATGGATAAACAAAATACGGTATATCCACACAAAATATTAGGTAAGTCTTAAAAAACAATAAAATACGGATACATGCTACCACATGGATGAACCATGAAGACATTATGCTAAGGGAAATAACACAATCATAAAGGACAAACGTGGTATGATTCCACTTCTATGAGGTTCCTAGGACAGTCCAATCCATAGAGACAGAAAGTAGAACAGTGGTTACCAGGCACTGGGGGTGGGGGTGAAGGGGAGTTTGTGTTTGATGAGTAAAGAAGGTCAGTATGGAATGATGAAAAGTTCTGGAGATGGTGGTGATGGTGGTACCACAATGTGAGTGTACTTAATGCTACTGGACTGTACACTTAGAAATAAAATGGTAAATTTTGTTATGTATATTTTACCACAATAAAAAACAAACAGACTTAAAATCCCCCCAAGAAAGCCATAGTTTTTCAGTGTTATTACAAGAACTCCATTATATGACAGTTTATTATTGTCTATTACCTTCCCACACTTATAAAACAAGGATGCCATTCACTTTACATGTTTAAAGTCTACAGGCCAAAGACCACATCTCCCCGTCTGCATTCCCCGAGACCTACTCTCCTGTACCAGAAGGGGCAACTACACTGTTGCCTGTTTACAGCTGAAGGCCCAAACAATACAACATTTTTGGTGAAATATATAAAGAAAACAGCACCCACAATCCTGCCACTCAAGATCAAGTGCTATTACCATTTAGATTTATATCCTTCCAGACTGCTTTAGTGTGTATACACAGCCACATGCATTTTAAAACAAGAATTGGACCACACTATACATACTATTTTGAGACATGTTTTTGTTTCGTTAATCTTCACCCAAGAACATTTTTCCCATTGGTTTTTAGATAGAGTGGAAGGGAGGGAGGAGGAAGGTGGAGATAGAAAGAGAGATAGAGGGAGAGGGAGAGGGAGAGGGAGAGGGAGAGGGAGAGGGAGAGGGAGAGGGAGAGGGAGAGGGAGAGGGAGAGGGAGAGAGAGAGAGAGAGAGAGAGGAAAGAGACACATTGATTGGTCTTCTCACACGTGCCCAAATAGGGGCTGGGAAGCAAACCTGCAGCCCAGGTACATACCCTTGACTTGGAACTGAACCCACAACACTTTGGTGGGCGGGTCGACACACTAACCACTGAGTGACACTGGCCAGGGCTACACTTTTTAAAAAACACAGTGATAATGTAGAAATATTTCCATGTATAGAACTATGTGACATATGTCATATTTTTTAATATTCCCCAGTATTCCACAGCATGGATATATCTCAATTTACTTAACTAGTCTATTGATGGGCATTTAAGTTATTTCCAAACTTTCTAGTAGGTTCTTTTTTTTTTTTTTTTTTTTTTTTTTTAAACACCATTCTGAAAACTGGATAGTTTATTTAACTTGTTGGCCTTTAACACACAGCCAGCCAGATATTTCTCCAGCAAAAATGGGTTTATGGCCAAGACCAGTTTGGCTCAATGGATAGAGTGTTGGCTTGGGGACTGAAGGGTCCCGGGTTCGATTCCAGTCAAGGGCATGTACCTTGGTTGCGGGCATATCCCCAGTAGGGGGTGTGCAAGAGGAAGCTGATCGATGACTCTCTCTCATTGATGTTTCTAACTCTCTATCTCTCTCCTTTCCTTTCTGTACAAAATCAATAAAATATATTTAAAAAAAAAATGGGTTTATGCAGAAACAACAAAAAGTTCCAGCTCAGCACGTGCAGTCTAACAGCGAACCATGGACAAGTTCAGAGAAACAAAAGACAGATATGCTCTTGTTACGGGATTTTTAAACTGGAACACGTGGTGTCGCCCTGGGCAGGATGGTCCCCTGGATTCTTTGTCCATCGGAGTCAAAGAATGAATCCACGGAAGGAAGATGGTGTAGCAAAAGGGGAAATTTATTGACGAATAAGCACAAACTCCCATGTGGGCAGGGGAAAGAGTCCCCTAGTAGGCTCTTTCTGAAGCTTTTCCCAACATGATAGGACCTCCCTGCCCTGCAGGAGATACAAGTCAGCTGGATTTTGTTAACTGTAATAATAGCATCATTAAATAGAAAATTATCTTTACTTAAAAAAATTATCTTTATTGTTGAAAGTATTACAGATATCCCTCTTCCTCTGCCTCCCATCCCCAACGAGCCCCTCCACCCCACTCCCATCCCTGTCCCAGGCCGCCACTGAACTATTGTCTGTGTACATGAGTTGTGCACATAAGTTGTTCAGTTAATCTCTTCCCACACTATCCCCCGCCCCCTGAGATTCGTCAGCTTGTTGCATGCTTCTATGTCTCAGGATCTATTTTGTTTGTCAATTTATTTTCATTATTTCAATCTATATGTTCATTAGATTCCACATATAGGTGAGATCATGTGATACTTGTCTTTCTCTGACTAGCTTAGCCTAATCTTCTCCAGCTCCCTCCATGCTGTCTCAAAGGATAAGAGATCCTTCTTCTTTACAACTGCATAGTATTCCATTGTGTAAATGTACCACATCTTTTGTTGTTGTTGTTAATCCTCACTCAAGGAAATTTTAGAGAGTGTGGAAGGGAGAGAGAGAGAAACATTGATTTGTCTATCACATCAATTGGTTGCCTCACGAATGAGGTCCTGGTGCACCCCCATTGGGACCAGAGATCAAATCTGCAACCCAGGTATGTGCCCTTAACTGGGAATTGAACCCGAGATCCTTTGGTGGACAGGTCAATGCTCTAACCACTGAGAACACTGGCCAGGGCACCACATCTTTTTTATCCACTCATATTGATGGGCATTTGGGCTATTTCCAGATCCTAGCTATTGTAATGGGCAAAGGATCTACATAGAAACTTCTCCAAAGAGGACATACAGATGGCCAAGAGAAATATGAAAAAATACTCAAGGTCACTAATCATCAGATATGCAAATTTAAATGACAATGAGGTATCATCTCGTACCTGTCAGAATGGCTACCATCAACAAATCAACAAATGATAAGTGCTGGCGAGGAAGTGGAGAGAAGGGAACCCTAATGCACTGCTGGTGGAGAGGCAGACTAGTGCAGCCATTGTGGAAAACGGTATGGAGTTTCCTCAAAAAATTAAAAATGGAACTGCCATTTGACCCAGTGATCCCACTTCTGGGAATATATCATAAAAATCTTGGCCCAGGCTGATGTGGCTCAGTGGTTGAGGTCATGGTTCAATTTCCGCTGAAGGCACATTCCCAAGTTTAGGGCTCGACCCCTAGTGTGGGGCATGCAGGAGGCAGCAGATCAGTGATTTTTCTCTCATCATTGATGTTTCCATCTCTCTTTCTCTCTGAAATCAATAAAAATATGTTTAAAAAAAAAAAAGAATCCCGAAACACCAAGCAGAATGAATATATGCACCCCTATGTTAATCTTAACTTTTCAAAGATCCATTTGGAAATCTTTGGAAGTAAAATGCCATGGTATCGCCCTAACCGGTTTGGTTCAGTGAAGAGAGAGTCGGCCTTTGGACTGAAGGATCCAGGTTCGATTCCGGTCAAGAGCATGAACCTTGGTTGCGGGCACATCCCCAGTAGGAAGTGTGCAGGAGGCAGCTGGTCGATGTTTCTCTTTCATCGATGTTTCTAAC